ACTTTATCCAGATTTTAAAAGTGCTCCCCCTTTTTCGTATGTAGGACACTCGCTCCCCTGCCCCACCATTCCGAGTTCACTTCTCCCTGGAGCACCTTATCCATACACCCTCTCCTCCAGTTAATTCTGTCTAACTGTCAAGGTCGCCTGAAATGTCCCCTCTTCCATGAAGCCCTATGGAACAGGTGAATCATCCAGATATGAACTCCCTTCCTCTGCACTCCCTGTATTTTCTCTTTGTCATAACGCTCACATGTTATCTTGTGAATAGTCTTATGTGCGTATTTTCTCTGCTAGATTTTACACTACTTCAGAAAAGACGCCCTGTTAAATTTATGTACCCTTTTTCCCTATAAATAAAGATAACCTTATATATCTGGAGTATGTGTTCTTATTTTTCCTTCTGTTCAGTTGCTGTTGATTTTTAATAACCATTTAATGCTCTAATTGACATTCATAAAGGAAGGAGCTTTTCAGTACAGCGGAAAATAGTGTGATTAGAAAAGACTCTGGAGTCCAATTGATGTGGCTTCAAATCCCCAGACCTGGCTTATTAGCAGTGTGACCCAGAGAGCAAGTTACTTATCCTCTCAAGGACATTTCATATTTCAAAGTTGAAGATACCTGTTTTTTCACATTTTAACGTTTCTGGAACTGAGGTGGTTGTCCGTCAGTGGTATTGTACAGTTAGTGTTGGCTGGGGGTGTGTTGTATGTGGTTACCTTGCCAACACTCATGTGGACTTCGTTTTGTTCATTTTGGTTTTGCTTTCTTGTCTGAATGAGTTTAAAAGAGCTCTTTGGTAAGAATAACATAATTCTAAGAGGTGACAAAGGATTATATCATAGTTTAGGTGACAGCATTTTCCCCCTTTCTTGGTCATATAAAATAATGGTGTATCTTATAATCAGTGACATATTAGATAGGATAAAATACAGTGTTTAAGGAAATCTAAAGTGTGAAGATTAAGGAAAACATATATAAATCTCAAAGAAGGGTGCCAGAGACACATTAAGATCTTAAGAAATGATACCCAATGTTATTGTTACTGAAAATGTCATAATTTCTGGGGAGAAAAGCAGAACTAAGGCATTCACTCTTTCCTTTGAAATTACTGGACTTTCGGCTAATTTCAGAATCTAATTCACAATAATATAATATGCCTTGCCTGCCTTGAGGCACATAGCATTTTAGGTACTGAAAATGCAAAAATAAAGTCACGATTCCTCTCCTCAAGGCACCACTTACACAGTGTACATTTGTGATGGAAATAGAGATGAGATTTTCCCAGGGGTGAATCAGGAAAACCATATAGAAGAACTCACAAGTGTACCAAAAAAGAGGAGAATCAGTAAAGAAGAAAAAGAGGATTAAATACAGAGAATTTAACACAAGCAAAGGCACGTTTGTGGCACATTCAGGGGTGGCAAGATCTCCAGAGTGGCCGCAGTGCCAAGTGACGGTTAGAAGCTACGAGGAGAAAACCGCCCGCTGCTCACGCCAGCCTGCTCTCTTGGTTCCCTTGTGGTTGTGTCACATGGTCGTCATTCTCAGTTGTAGATTGTATTTGCTTGTTTATTTTAAAGGTGAATGTGCAGGTGTTGTTGAGAAGTTACTGAGCAAGTATGTGATTGCCAAACGCGAGTAGACTTTGAGGTTGATTGTGGAGTTTGTGGGCGCGATTGCTGCAAACCAGAGAAGTTCCAGACTTTCCTGTGGGAAACACACTGGCTGATTAGTGGATAAACCCAATAATAATGCCATTGTGCACGCTAGGCGAGGACGGGCCAGCGTTGCTACGGGAAATCTTTGAAGGAATCTGGGAACATTCTAAAAGTGTAAGACTTAAATTTTAGGATTTTTTTCGTTAGGCCCCTGGTCAGCTGCTATACTCACAAGCAGGTTGGACTGAAGTAGAAGGAAATTGCAAATTCATTCAGCTTTTTGAACTGGTTCGTGAAGCTGTGAAGCATCACTGTAGATGGTGGGTCATTTTCTGTAAGAGAATTTTTAGAGAAATAAACCTCTTATAAAAATTGGGTTTTTTCCTTGATAACATTTAATATTTCATTATTCACACATTAAACTACTATTACTGTTCTTATTTTATAACCGAGTTAATTGCTGCTTTGTTTAGCTGATTTGCCCAAAATCACACAGCTGGTACTTTCGTGCCAACTAGGAAGTGACTCCTGAAACCTAGGAATTAGCCTCTTCCTGCGAAGTTCACTGCTGTGTTTTCATTCCCGCTTCACAGGTGTATGTATGTGGGAGATACTGATGCATGGTGTGAAGCCTTTTCAAGGAGTGAAGAACAATGATGTGATCGGTCGAATTGAGAATGGGGAAAGATTACCAATGCCTCCAAATTGCCCTCCTACCCTCTACAGCCTTATGACGAAATGCTGGGCCTATGACCCCAGCAGACGGCCCCGATTCACTGAGCTCAAAGCTCAGCTCAGGTAGGAGTGGGGGGAGAGAGGGCCCGGGGCTGGGGCAGGCTTGTGCTGCTTCTCCTCTGTTGCAGTAATAGCATTTCAAGGTCATTTTATCAGTACGTCTAAGGCTAACCTACTTCTTGGGCAAACATAATTACTTTTTTAATTGATTTGTGTTTATTTATACCTTGCTAGAATCTTAAGTAGATTATATCTTAAAATCTTAATAGATTTCAAATTATAATCAAATCTCTCTCCCCTAACTTCTAACTGACTTAGCATGGCTTGCAAGGTCCATAATAATTTAGTCCCTAATTTACCTCTCCAATCCCTTTTCTCTCAACTCCTTCATCCCCCCGATACTTAAGCTCTGGCGACACCTAACTACTTAAAATTCCCCCAGCACAGCTCACTGCCTTTCGCTAGCCATTCTCTCCGAGAAATGCCTTCCCCTGCCGTAGCCACCTGATAAACTCCTGCTCAGTCCTCAGAATCCAGCTCAGATGTTACCTCCTTCAGGAAACTAGCCTAATCAACTCTGCCCCCAAAGAGATAGCCAGTCCTTCGGCACCTTTTCAGTACTCTGTTACTATAGTTAAAACATCCACGTCGCCCGTTCAGCTGCCATTTTGTGGCTCCTGCTTTGTGCCGGACGCTGTTAGACCCAAATCTCTAGCAGCTCCCAGTCGACTCCGCCTCCTGGCCTGGAGATTTTCTCGTTTGCTTGTCTGTGTCCCCAGCCAGACTCAAATCTGTGGGCATCACTGTGTCTTACTCATTTCTGTAGCCATGGTACGAAACTCCGGACTCAATAAATGCAATAAACAGTTGTTGAATTAAAGTCTAGATTGAGGCTTAGTACTTTAATGAACAAGATATTTTCATATAATATGCATGGGGAGCTTAATTATATAACCAGCCAACCAACACCATGGTTTAACGTGTGCTGTATCACTTTCATATTTGGGGTACTTCCCTGATTTTATGTGAGTTTTTTTTTTTATTTGCTATACTTTAGTCTTTTTTCATAAAAATTACGAAATATCAGGATCCAGAAGACCCTGACAGCTCATCTGGCCCAGCCGTGTCCCCCAGTGCTTGACCTTCTCTAAACTTCCTCTAGCCTCACCTCATCTTCAGGCAGCTCAACCTGCAAGACAAGTTTCCTCACAGGGAGAATGTTCCAAGAAAAATTAAAGCCGATAGGTAGAAATAGAAGAGGGTCATCCAGTCAGCAGCTGTTTGCTGAGCACCTACTTTGTTCTAAGTTAGGTTCTATGGATTCAGAAGTGAACAGAACACCAACTTGCCCCCAGAGTCTGAAGCCCGGTGAGGAGACAGCCAGCAGTGCTCAGCATGTAGGGAGAGCATGCTGGGAGAGGCCCCCCCACAGCCGGGCCCCGCTCTCTGGAGCCCGGAGAACAACTCTGCCTCGCACGTGATGGGCTTTCAAGTGTTTCTAGACAGCTCTCTTCAAGCTAAAAACTTCCCATTTCTTAATTCTCATACAACTTAATTAGGTATGCTCTCACTATTAGAGCTGGATTTTCAAGGTGCTTTATTTCATGTTTTGCTCATAAATTTTTTTTGTTCCCCTTGATCTTTCTTTGGAAGTAGACAGAGTCTGTCCTTGAAATTTCTTCCTTCTCTGATAACAGTTCCGTCTACTTGCCTCCCTGTGTCTCACTGATCTGCTGTTTCTCCACCATTACTATGAGTATTGACCACATTTCTGTTTTCAGCCGCCTCCTCCTTTCTGTCAGGACTCTTTCCAGATTATCTTAACCATTCTTGTGGCTTTGCTTCTCACCTCTGTCTGTCTTTAGCTTCCATCTTGCCCTTTTCTCACAGTCCCAAACCTGCGTTTTAAATTGCCACTGGACATCGTGTTTATCCTAAAGCAAATCTGTTACCTTCTCCTCTCAGCCAGCTCTTGCCTCTCACCTTCTCTGGGTTATAGCGGTGCCTTTATCTTCATCTCCATCTTGGAATCATCAAGAATTCCTCGCACCCCCCACCAGCTGACTAGCTGGAGAACCGTCAGTGCAGTGTCTTTAGGGCCACTCCCTCCTCGCTCTCTCTACCTGGACCCTCCTCCCGTCTGTCTGGCATAACTTCTTAGTCAGTCTTCCTGAAACATCGCTATGGAACAGTAAATCCTTTGCTCAGAACAACTGGCAGTGGGTCCTGTCGCTCCCCGTGTTAGGGAGAGGCTTCCAGAGCAGCATCTGAGACTCCTTCCGTTATGGCCCCACGCTGTCTCTCCATCCCTTTCTCACACCATAGCCAAACTAACCCAGCCTCTCAGCCTGGAATGCCTCCTTCTCCACCTGGTGAAATCCTACCCATCTTTCTTGGCTTCTTTCATGCACTGGCTCTTCTGTGATTTCACAGCTGACTATCCTGTGCCCTCAGGGTCGCCAGCGCACCTTGTTCTTGTCATGCTCATCCTTCGCTGCCGCAGGTAGCTATGTGCCGTGTTCAGCTCACTTCCCCACACACTGTGAGACCATGATAGCTGAGCCTGGTGCTAGTCACTGGGCGTGATGACCAAACACTTTTCCTGCCCTCGAGGAGCTCACAGTCTAGTATGTCTCATCCCCTACTAGACTGAAGCTCCTTGAGGACAGGGATCGTCATACTCTCCTCGGTGTTGCCCGCACCTCCAGGCCAGGAGCCTGGACACAGGAAGGGGTCAGATAGCCACTGAGTTCATTGCTGAGTGCATATAAGTAAATTCGCTCCAAAAACTACCCGAGATGAAGTTTTAGAACTAAATATAATTATTTTATATATGTACACACATATATATACATATATACATATAATATAATGTACTTAGACTCTAATTTATGGATATCTTCTTGTGCACAATTAATACTGGTCATTGAGCATTAATTTATTTTGTATCGTTCTGTTTTAATCAGAAATAGAGTTTAACTTTGCATTTTGAACATGTACAATATGGCTACCAATTAGGCCAATAAAATTTAATTTCATGATATAATGGCTTGCTTGGACGTTTATATGTAACAATGTGTCACAGTAATTAAATAGGCTCTTTGATTGAGTTTTTCAGAGTTTTTGTCATAGCCAAGATTTTAATAAAGCAGTTAAAACCATTTTCCAAATCCCATTCTCCTTGTCCACCTTAGAAGGGAATATTGCAAATAGACTCGAATTGCTGTGGGGCTCCACTCATCTTTGACTGAGCCATGTATGTGTTTTACTACGTTGTACGTTGAGAAAGTGGCTCTCAGGATGAACTTCCTTAGGCCGAGTTGTAAAGTACTCGGGTCCTATTTCCACGGGTTGATCTCTGTGACTCAGGGCCTGTCCTCCCTGCATCCTGTTTTCTTATTCATAGACGTGACTTCTTGAGAAGTGGAATGGGCTTAACCTTTAGGTGGCCTATTAGCAAGTGTAAAAAATTCCTCAATAGGAATATTTTACGGTGACCTAGAGTGAAAATTTCTCATGCACTCTGGCATTTTGTACTGTGTGACTGACAGCTTATAAGAGTGTACTAAACATTTTTTGAATGAAAAAAATCATTTAATCCCTGGTTAACTGAGTTAATTCTTTGGTAGATACTGTGCCAAGGAAACCACAATAAACAGCTTGAGTATCTGCCCTTTTGGAGCTTAAACTCAAAAATACTATTTCCCAGCAGTACTCTACTTGACTGAAGCTATTTGTGCCACTATAAAAAAAAGATGGTCGGTTTTATCTCAGTTTAGGGAAATGTTTTAAGTTAGTGTGCAGTTTCTTAAATCCTTTTTAGGCAAATGAGATCAATAAACAAATTTATCAATTTAAAGTTTGATACCATAATTTTTGTATTTTTTTAAACGTTTTATTGACATACAAAGATGTGAACATATAAACATGCCAAGAAGTAAACAGCTCATTGAATTTTCACAAATTGGGCACACCCATGCAGCCAGCATCCAGAACAAGAAAAGAACACTGCCAGCACCCCAGAAACCCTGACGCCTGTTTCCAATTGCCATTCACCCTCCAAGGATAACCACTAACCATAGATTGGTTCTGCCCATTTTTGAGCTTTATGTAAATGGTATCATTCAGTATGTACTTTTTTGTTTATGGTTTATTTTGCTCGTGTAGTGTGAGATCATCCATTTTATTCAGGTAGTTATACTTCATTCTCATTGCTGTGTATTGTTCCATTGGTGAATATACTATAGTTTATCCATTCTACTACTGGCGGAAATTGGGATACTTTCCAGGGTGGGGCTGTCGGGACTCTTGCCGTCTGGACATAGTAGTGAGTGTCTTTTGGGGAGCGTATGTACAGGAACTTCAGCCGGGGTAAATCTAGGAGTCAGCGGGATGCACAAGTTTACCTTCATTAGATACTGCTGCTTTCCCAAAGTGGATATTCCAATTTATTGCTCCCAGCAGTGAATGAAAGCTCCGGTTGCTCCAACCGTAGTTTGTTTCTGAGCCTGCCGTTCTCACATATGATGGTCAGATAAAAGAATGTAAGTGATATATAAACAATTTACTTGAACTTCTCTCTTCTCAAGAACACTGACCTAGTAAGTACCGCCTTGGAAGATGGCCCGTGATCTTCAGTTGGTCTTCTGGCACTGAGCTCTCTGGGGATCCTTTAGAACTAATGCGATGTGTGCTGACAGCACGTCTCCATCGTCTGCAGTTAGCTTTACTAGTTAAAACGCTAAAAACCAACATTTGCTGAGCACTTTCTTTGCCAGGCATTGTGCCATGAACTTTCACACATGATTTCATCTTGATCCTCACAGTCCTTGACGATGTAGGAAGGATTATCATCATCAGTTTACAAATGAGGAAACTGAAGCTGTAAGGTTAGGCAGCTGCCCTGAGGTCACAGCTGGAAGTCAAGGCAAGTCCACCTGAGTCCCTGGCTTAGGCTGTCAGCTGTCATGCTATGTGCCTTGATTTGAGACGTGGCCAGGAGTCATTAAGTGCTTCATTTTAGGATTATGACTGGTGAGCAAGTTGTTAATATTGTTTGGTTAAAAAGGAAAAAGGAAAAAATGCTATTACAAGGAATTCCTGCAGCTGGTTTTCTCACATTTGTTTGAGTAGCAACCAGAGAAAGTCCCCAAAAAGAAGCACAGCATCACTGATATATGCATGGGAGCCCCTACCAAGACTTTGAAGGGTGACACGATTTCAGTGTGTTAGCTTCAAAATATTTGTCCTTTTCATTATATTTGTCTTGTCACATGTTGAGCATGTTGCATTTTGCTGTTTTGGCCCTCTGGAATCCCAGATACAGTGGGGAGCAGGTTGAGAAGTTTTTGGTGAGGCTGAATCTCTCCAGGGGTGAGCTGAAGCAAGCTAGAGGCAAGCCACGTGAGTGTGTGTTGGCCAGAGTCTGCAGCCACCTGCTGTGGACTCATCCTGTGTACGTAATACATAGCCTTGTCTCCAGCTTGGGTCTTGGGGTGGGGGCTATTTAAGGGTGATGTTTGTTTCTTATTTTAACTTAGTATTATCGTGTTTGCTTCTTAACTTTATCATAGAAAGCTGGCCTTTGAGAGATCGGTTTGGTCAGGGCTGTAAGTTAGCTTGGAATTGCTGCAGCCACAAATTTTTTTTTTTCATATTACATCTCAGTATCATACCCAAGTGGGTTACAAAGCATCTCAGGACACAAACTGTATTTCAGTTGATCTGTGAGGTTGCTAGTTCGAGCTAGCAGCACCTGTAGAGTAAGGGGAGGGGGAGCGGTACGGGGCAGCGTGCGTGCATGTGTGTGTGTGTAACCTACATAAGTATAAGCACAGAGACCACTTGAGTTTGGAGGAGTTTAACCTGGTGTTTAGAGGGGTACATCTTGTATGAAGGTTAGAGTTTAAAAAGAAGTTTTGAAAGGCTGTGTGGCCTTGGGCAGGTGACTTAGCGTCCCTGCGAGAGCAGGCTCACAAACCCTCCCTGTGGTCTAGTTTCAGGATTAAATGCGCTTATTGTCCACAAAGCTTTCACAGTGCAGGGCTAGCGGCGGGCACACAATGTGAGGGCTACTCTAATAGTAGGAACAGCAAAGCTTTTTCTGCAGATCCAGAGGAACCTGGAGATCTTAGAGTACAGAAAAATGATCAGTTACTGTTAAAGAAAAATCTGGTTATTTGAATTTAAAAGTGTTAGCTGTTATTATCCAGATGCCAAAATACAAAGCACATCTTGTTGACATTTTATAGATGTGTTATGGAGACATGGAATTTAAAATTTTAATCTGTGAACAGCACCTTAAAGTTTTTAAAATCTTTTTTGATTCTTCATTTATCCTAAAGTGTGAACTCTAAATTAAAAGCTCTAGATCTGACATGGGGAAGGAGAACAGGTTAGTGGTTACCAGAGGGGAAAGGGGGGGTGTGGGCAAAAGGGTAAAGCAGCACATATTTATGGTGACAGATAAAAACTAGACTATTGGTGGTGAACACGATGCAGTCTATACAGAAACTGAAGTACACTACTGTACACCTGAAATTTACACAGTGTTGTAAGCCAGTATGACCTCAATTTAAATAAAAAGCTTTAGGCTTGATTAATGACATGAGGATACTGTGCTTCTTCACTGCATGTTTTTTTTTAAAGTGATTTTGTATTAGCTTCCAAGATTCCTTTCAAAGGTGGTGTCTGCATTCCTCCTTAGTCATCATCCCAGTATTTTCCTTCTCGCTGCTATCCTGTTTGGTCTAGATAATATCTAGGAAAGTAATATGTTTCTCAATTATCCCTGTATACATCTTAAAATGTTCACAGCATCTGAACTTTAAGGGGTTATTGGGCGGTGCGGGGTCCTTAACCTTCCCAGTAATAAAAAGTAAATAGTAAATCTAAATGTAACAGGACTTTACTGTAAAATTTACATTGTTTCCACTAAAATTACATCTTAACTGTTTCTTATCTAAGGATACTTCTTACTCTTCATTGGTTCCCACCCACACATAGATGATCAGAGCTTCGTAAGTACATCTCTGTTGTAGTTGCACCTCCACAATTTGGTTTTGTGTGAAGTGAACAAATTTCTAGTGAATTCTGGTGAGATTTAAACTTGCATTTCATAAAAATTAGTCCTTCGTACTTATGTGCCTTCACAGATCATTTTTACATGGATTCCCTTATTTGAGTTCGAGACAGTTCTTAAGGATGAGTTATTACTGCCCTTTCCACTTGAGCACCTGAGGCTTGGACATCGTGTGCCTTGTTCTGGATTGTGCAGCTAACAAAGGGTTGATCCAGGATCCTGGGCCCCTTTCTCCTAACTTCAAGACCAGTGTTCGTTCTTGTCTGTTTACCACACGTGCCCCCTCCTCACTGATTGGGTTGCTGGCTGCCCCATCCCACCTGTATTTCTCCATGCTGTCTTCACTTCCCCTCACTTGTCTTATATTAAGAAAGAACTCTGACTAGATGTTTACATTTCAGCTGTAATTCGTATGTTTACTGTTTACAATCTGAACTCCACCCTCAGAACCCGCAGTGAGATCCTCAGACTTATCCCATTCGCTACCATAATTCCTTCCCTTCAATTCTGTTTCTGTTACCGTTTTTGTTTTCTTTCTCGTTGTTGTTAATTTCCCTTCACTGAATTTTCTCTCCGGGATTATTACCTAAAAACATCAAGGAAGGGTGGAACAGACATGACTGTCTCTCCATCTCTGGACAGTGAAGGATCAGTGGCTCTAGGTGGTTCCTCCTCCTTGTCCATTTACAGAGGGACAGAGAAATGAGGTTGGATGGAGGGATACAGGAAACAGATGGAGAAACATTGGCTCCCTATCGGTCACAAATTAACATGCCCCTACAGCCTAGCTGGGAGAGAAGCAGAAGTCCTCTGTGGTCCGTTCATTAGTTCTTGGCTGAGAGGGACTGGCGCTTGGAAGCCAGCACCTCCCACACCTCTTTCTCTTAACCCCCCAAATTTGCGTTTTAGCACTACCTTTTGCATTATATTTTTAGGGATTACAATATACATCTGTAACTTTTCAGAGTCTACTTAGAGTTTAATAATTGTACTTTACTTAAAATGTAGAAACTTTGCAACCATGAAGGTCCGTTTACCACCACCTCAGTCCTTTCATGCTTTAGATGTCCTATATGTATTGTATTAACATATGCTAGTAACCTCACAAAATAAGATTCTATGTTGTACTGTAAATAATATTTTAGAGAAAGTACGGAAAGAGTCTTTTATATGTAACCCTATACAGTGTTCTTCCTTCTTTCCTGAAGATCTTTCTTCCATTTGGTTTCCTGTCCGCCAGAAGAACTTCTTTAGCATAGGTCTGTTGGTGAATTCTATTTGTTTTTTTAATCTTGCAATGAATTGAACTTAATTTCATTGGACATAAAATTCTGAGTTGACAGCATTTTTCTGTTTTTTCTTTCAGCACTTTAAAGCTGTTCTGCCACTATCTTCAGACCTCTGTTATTTCTAATGAGCTGTCGCTGGGCTTTGAAATGATTGTTCCTCTGCATGTCATGTGATGTGTCGTTTTTCTCCTGACTGCTTCCACGATTTTCTCTGTGGTTTTCAGTAGTTTAACTGGATGTGCTTGGGTGTGGTTTTCTTTTTTTTTTTTTTTTAAAGATTTTATTATTTCCTTTTTCTCCCCAACACCCCCCAGTACATAGTTGTATATTCTTCATTGTGGATTCTTCTAGTTGTGGTATGTGGGACGCTGCCTCAGCGTGGTTTGATGAGCAGTGCCATGTCCGCGCCTAGGATTCGAACCAACGAAACACTGGGCTGCCTGCAGTGGAGCGCGTGAACTTAACCACTCGGCCACGGGGCCAGCCCCAGGGTGTGGTTTTCTTTGTACTGATCATATTGGGGTTCACTGAACATCTTGAATCTGTAAATGTCTTTGACCATTATTTCTTCAGCTATTTTTTCTGCTCCATTTTCTCACTTCTTATCAAACTCCAGTTCCACGTATGTTAAACCTTTTGATATGTTCTTCAGGTCCTAGAGTTCTGTTCTTTTTCTTTTTTTACCCAATCTTTTTTTCTAAGTCCCTCAGATTGGATAATTTTTATTGACTTATCTTCACGTCCCCTTACTCTTGTGTCATCTCCATCCTACTGATCCTCTGATTCTTTGGAGATTTTATTTCAGATATTATATTTTTCCTTATAGAATTTTCATTTGGCTCTTTTTAATAGTTTATATTTTTATGCTGACATTCCCTGTCTTTTCATTAATTATGAACAAACTTTTCTTTATGTCCATGAATATGATAGCTCTCTAAAGTGCTTGCCTGCTGAATCCAACTTATGAGTCATTTTTGGAGTAGACCTACTTGAGATTTTTTTTCCCCTTGAGAATTGATCACATTTCCATGTTTATTTGTATGTTGAGTAATTTTAGATTATGTCCCCGACATTGTGATTGATTTATTGCAGAAACTCTGGATTCAGTTACATTCCTCTGAAGAGTGGTTGGTTGGTTGCTTGGTTGGTTTGTTGTTTTAGCAGGCAGTTCTCTTGGCTGGTCTCAAATTGCAAACTGTCTTTGCATGCTGTGGGCAGCAGCTCAGATCTCCATTTAGTTCTCTTAGCCTCAGCTAGGCTGCTTAGAGCCTGCCCTAAACGTGCAAGGTTCCAGGGTCAGCTGGAGATTGGGCAGAATTTATACTCAGAATCTGAAGCACTCCCACCCTGGCTTTCTTCTTCCTGGGATGTCCCCCCTCGGTTTCCACCAGCTGTGGTGACCCAAACTCAGTTGTCTGGTTCTTCAAACTAGTATGACTGGAGCCTGCTTTCTGGCTAATGGCCATTAAAAAGTGAAGACTCGCGCAGGGCTATTCCCTTCCTCCTTGTGTCAGCTCCCTGCAGAACCGGACTGCTCTCACTTGCCCTCCTGTGCTGTCACTCTCCCTTGCTATCTGCAAGAGGCTTGGTCAAATAGGAGCTTCTCGAACTCGCCAGGAATAGAAAGATAGCCGTTTTAAAGTAAGATTTTAATATAAATCACTTTTTTTAATGCAATTGTGAGGTGGATAACACCACAACCAAACAAAAGTGCATTATTTCCTACAGTTTGAGATACATAATAAGAGAGAAATATGGTTTTGATGAATTTGTGAAGCCAGATGTCCAGTCTGCTGTGTCTATTTATAAGAGAAAAAGACCAGAGGCGTATATTGGAACACTGTTGTTGTGGCATTTAGCCACTAGGTCAGCCGCTTACAAATATGCCATCCCCAGCTTCATCTTAAGTCTCCAGACTTGTTTTCTGCAAAGATACCAGGGGCCGTTTTTTGTTAAAAGGTCAATTCCATTCCTTTGTGGTGAGGCAATGTTGGATAATTATAAGAGATTAGCTTTCAAACTGGTATTCCCATGAACTTGCCAAAACAAGCCATTTCCCTCTTGGCTTTTTTTCCTTCTGATTTCTTCCTGCTCTTTCTCTGGGTATTTTCCAAATTAGCTTAAGTCGCTGTGAACCCAGACTCATTTTATGTCCAAAGCAAACTTCGTGATGCCATCATAAAATTAGTATGTTTAGGGAACCAGAGTCCAATCTTTAAAAAAAAAAAAAGTTATTTAAGTGAAGAGTATTTCTTATATTTAAAAGAAAAAATGTTTTATAGTTTCAAAGAAAAGAATAGTACTATAGTCACTTTCAGAAAAAATGCTACAGAAATGAAATAGAGAAAATGAATCATTTCTTTCCTAGTAGTATGTAAGGCCAGTGAAAGTACAGAACTAACATTTACTTGAAAATTTTGCTTTGTTTCACATACTTTATTTCTCCATCCTAACAATGGCTGGGACAGGCGATGTTTTCATTTATGAATGAGGAAGCAAGCTGAAATGGCAAGGCTGCCTGTGCTTACATAGGCCGCAGAGATGCAGCTCGTAGCTGTGCCCTTTCTTTTGGGACGGCTTGAACAGCTCGATTTTCAACCACTCAGGGCTGAGTGGCCTTCCCCACTCTAAAACTTGTCTGTGTTGGAGATTTGGTTTTACATCTTAGCTCGGGACTAGAATTGAGGAACCTGTCAGAATGCTTTCGTGCTCTCCGTGAGAACACGTTAGAAGTGAAACCACATTTTGTTACTCCAGGACGGAAATGTAAGAAGACCTCTCCATGCTAGCTCCTGGAGCTTGTGAGAGCAAGTTGCACAGGGAGTGCTGTGGGCTGAGAGGAAACGGTCGGAGGAGCCTTACAAGTTTTTATGTCCTTTTCCTCTAAATTGATTACTTTGATGACTTTTTCTGTTAGAGTGAGGGAAGTGAAAAATAAAACTAACATTAAATAAAGTACTCCTTTCCCCTCTCCACGGTTCTCTTCCAAATGGGATTCCTGGATAAACAAAAACGATTATCACGTTATAATGTTCGTTAAATAAAAATCTGAGCTTTCATTGTTTCATCTGTTTGCAAGTTTAAGACTTAGAAACCACCATCCCGGGAAGAAACATGAGGGCTCATTGCCAGTTCACATTAGGCAGCTAAAAGCTTTCAAATGGAATGTATTGCTACTAAAAATATTTGTAGTTTGGGAAAATATTTTTAAATTTGACCTCCTTGACACTCTGCACATTGTAGTTTATTGCTCTGGGTTCTTCAGCAGCTGTAAAGAGAAAGTTCAGAAATGTCTCCATGTGCACTCTTAGTCCATCTATGGAATAGTCTTCCCATTGTAAAAACAGATATTTTATGAGTTATTTATATTCTTGACTACTTTGAGCAACAAATTCTGGTTTCTCAGAAGAATCTAACATGTTATTTTTGGTGTGAGAATGAAGTAGTGTGATTTAAAGGAGCTTGCTTCCTGGTTATCTCTGTGTTCTTGGAGGAACAAGACTGGCATGGTCAGTTAAAGAAATACTGCAGTGCCTGCCATAGGCAGATGCTGTACAGCTGACAGGAGAAATTGGGTCCAAGTCTGACAACCGTGGGAAGTTTGCAGTCCAAGTCCCATTAAGCAGTGAAGTAACATAGGTGGAGTAGATGATGAAGGGCTGAAAGAAGGATTCAGACAGTAACTTGAGTAGGTCCGAGAGCAGGGGCAGTGAGTACGGGCAGGAGGGTCAGGGCAGCTGGAGCCTGAGAGGGTCTCCTCATGGCAAAGGACCTCAAGTGACCTCTGTGGAGGTTTCTGTGGGGAACAGTGATGGTAAGATCAGGGTGGCCCAGGTCACAAAACAACCCAAGTGAAATAAATTGCCTTAATGGGACCTACTTAAAGTGGAGTTCCCGTTGCCTTAAAGAATTTGTCACTCTTTGCCTTCTCGTAGCTTACCTGTATTTCAATTATTTGAAGAAGTGGAAGAAAAGCGCAAATATTTTTTACTTGATTTTTTTTTTCTTAATTTTTAGGGACTGTTCATTTGCTTAACACTATGAAGTTTTTGGAAATTCTGGTTCAGGATTTGTTACTTGTTTTGAGGCTCGGGAGATTGAGAGCAGGGCACTGATAAACTCCTATCCAGGGATGGCTCCTCCATCAGGCCAGTGGTCTCAGACTGAACTCCTGCTCCCAGTGGCCATCTCGGAGGAAGTGGGCTGCAGCCCTTCCCTGCTGAGAGTTTAGGCGGCTTGGTAACAGGCTCTTCTTCGCTGGTCAGTGGACTGTTGTTGGCTTCACTCATCCATTTGCCTGTCATTAGTGATACATATTGTGATCTAGGATCTGTGCTCATTCCTGGCATGTGAGAATGGGCTGTCAGGTAGCAGCTCCCAGCCTAGTGGGAACAAAGGTCAATCAAACAGACATTCACAGTGTATTTAAACTAGAGTTACAACTCTTGGACGGGGCCCAGATTCCCAACAGTACTAGCCCAGCATGCACCTTGCCAGTCTTGAAGGTGCCACTAAATTCTTAAGTATCATTGAGATTTCATGTTGTTTTCTCAGCCATGGTCATCTGGCTGGAGCAGGAAGAAAATCGAAATCATATTTTGAGGAGGAGGTGGAATCTTTTGACAAAAAGCTTTTTTCCTAAAATGCTAATGTGCTCATTGAAGAAAACATTCCCTTTCTTTTAAAAAAGAAAAAAAAAGAAAAGCCCTTACATCTGTTGTAATGGTTTGCCGACTCAGGGCAATTATAAAATGAGTTTATCTGTCTTTTCCTGAGTGAAAGGTGACTGCATGAGTTAGGCTGTGTGAGAAACAGCACGCTCTAGCCTCCAGTCAGGCAGGAATGTCTTTTTGAAACAGTCAAGCAAATTCCCAGATTAGAAAGGGTCTGGTGCATCTGACCTCACTCTTTCATGAGTAATTCTGGGTGGTTATTTACTGCACTCTACCAGGAGGCTAGAAACTGAATGAGCTTCAGTATTAGGACTCGAGAGTTGCGAGCATGTAGGAAAGACCTGTTCGTCACGGGGAGGACGAAGGTTTCAAAGACCGGCCGCCCGCTGAGCCCTGGGGAATCCCTGTGGCATGGGAGTTAGCAAAGGCTCGCCTTGGCTGCGTGCTCGATAGTTGATGTGATGGCAAGCGTCCAAGACTAAGAAGCCGCCAGCAGTCGCTGAGGAGCAGCGGCCGCAGCGGCCGCAGGATTATGTGGGACGGCAGCTAGCCCCTGAGTAGTCAAGCGGTGGTAAGTAGCCGTGTTACCAACTACAGCGTTTACAGTTTAAAGCGACCGGCATTTTCAGAGGTCCTTGTGAATCCTGTTGCCTGTTTTCGTATTTTCCTGTTGAGATAAAGTACTGCTTAAGCTGAGAGTTAGTAGGAAGATCGTAGTGAGCAGTTTAGGAGATTGTTGGCCAGATGGCTAATTTGCCACATAATGTGTTGATGCGGTCACATTATGTGGGGGCCTGTGTTCATGTGAAGAGTCTGTCCTGAGACATGTCTGTGCTTGATTAAGTGCTGCTTGGGATTTCTCAGCGTGATTCTGTTCTGCTGAAAATAAACTTTGGCGTACGAACATTCCATCTTGGCTTGTCTTTGATTTTCCCCATCTTCTCCTTATCTTACCAGCTGTCCTTTTCTTACCTATGGCTGTGCTGTAAATGGACTTGCTATTTCGACCAAGGCTGTTCTAGAATCATTTTGTAAGGGATTAGAAACCTGATCCTCTTTGCCTTTCTTTATCATCACCTACTGTTAGCCAGCTGCTGCTCCTTCAGTAAGTCAGGGTGGGGCCTGGTGTGTGCTAACTCACTCTGGTTGTCAGCTCCTTAAACCATGTATTGTCTCTCTAGCACAATCCTGGAAGAGGAGAAGGTTCAGCAAGAAGAACGGATGAGGATGGAGTCCAGAAGACAGGTCACAGTGTCCTGGGACTCCGGAGGGTCCGACGAAGCACCACCCAAGGTAGCAAAGGCCCCCACCCCAACTTTGGCATTACTCCTACTAACTTTGGAGGTTTATGGTGGAGGTAGCTGCTGTTTGTGGAGAGAAGACCAAGTATGAGGTTATTCTAAGTGTAATCGTTACAGCGCCAACTATGGTTTCTTACTTCCTCCTCTACATAGGGCCCTCATGTGCACGCATTCTCCCAATTTGCGTTTCACCTATAGGCTGTTTAAGCAGTGAATGGTTGCATCCGGTATAATCTTCACATGCTCTTCCTTGTCTTCCTCCCCCGCCCTGCCCCCACTCGCCAGTCATACACGAGCAGCCTGACTCCTGCTGGTCAGGGAGTTGGTGGTGGTCAGGGGCCTCGCTGATGATCGAGTCAAGATTAGAACATCAGACGGGCTAAAAGCAGGCCACTAATGCTTCACGTTTTGCTTTATTTTAAAATGAGTCAGATTCCACCCGACCCTGTTCCTTTGTGTTTTGTTTTGCTGAGAACCTTGTGTACGTTTTCTGCCCTTGTCTCGTTGTGGCTTGTAGCTGAGCTGTTGGTGTGGGAACTGGGAGCACATTGCATTTGCTTGTAAGATCTGCTGGCAGCATCCTCAGGCCTCGTCTGCCTACTCACCTCACATCCTTGACCTCCATCCTTCCGACCTCCGGGAGGCAGCCGGAGCCTCCCATCGTGCTCAGCTGTGCTATGCCTGGGGGTCTGGCATAGCTGGCCCTTAGACACTCTCCTCAGATTTAGAACTCTTGATACAGCTTTTGCTCTTGACAGGATGGTATTTTCACACACTGGCTTACTTGCCACAAATAATCCAGTTCAGATTGTTTGCTGGAAGGTAAATAGATAATAGCCTATTTTGCAGTTAATATTACCTCTATTTGATAATTGATTAGCTAAAAATATATTAAGAAACTTTTGGGGGCCAACCCAGTGGCATAGTGGTTAAGTTTGTGTGCTCTGCTTTGGTGGCCTGGGGTTTACAGGTTCGGATTCCTGGCATAGACCTATGCACCACTTATCAAGCCATGCTGTGGCAGGCATTCCACATATAAAATTGAGGAAGATTGGCACAGATGTTAGGTTAGGGCCAATCTTCCTCGCCAAGAAAAAAAAAGTATATTTATATAAAGCAACTTTGACAATCCTTTACTTCATTTTCTTTTTGAAAAATATTCAGAAATCTGTTATCATGAAGTGCTGTTTAAATATTGTACTGATTTTTTAATCATGATGCCTGAAAGCTTCTATTTTCTTGGTCAGTTTTAAACTGTGTAACAGTAAACATTATCAAACTTTTAAAGTGGATGCACATGGTTCACAGAGTTCTTCAGCATTCTAGAGGTGAAGGGTTCTGTCATCCAGCCTCCTCAACAAATAGGAAAATGGAGGCCTCAAGAAGGAAGGCCATGTCACCTGTCCATAGACATTATTTTAAGCACATTAATGATGAAACCAGAACATTTCTGTCTCTCCTAGTTTAACAACAAGAGCAGCAAATCCTAGGTTAGCCACAGAACGACTCTGAACCCTTGATCTCGGCATCTAAGACCCTCCACTTCATGTGTCCAAGTTTGCCTGTTTCCTGACACAGTAACAAATGCAGAATAGTCCAGTATTGGGAGGCAAGAGTGTCTCAAAGTTAATTCCTCAGGCCGGGAAGCCAGGTGGATCTGTTCATGTTGGACTCTGATGACTGGGCAAGTTACCTGCCTGTCCCAGCCTCACTTGCCTCATCTCTGAAAGGAGTGTACCTGTTCCCTACCTCATAGGGGCATCATGAGGCCTGAGTGGATCGTGCGTTCACAGCGCTCTACTTAGCCATCGAAGTGTCACGTCCTGTAATTATTTGCTGATGAGCACCAACTAATGCAGCACTCCCCTAGAACCAGCAGAATTCAAGAACTTTGTCCATCTGAACATTTTTCTATATCAATCTGTAGGATTTTTAATTTATATTTTTTAATAATTTTGGTTTGGCTCAATTTTGAAAGCTATAATGTCAGATTCGTGGATGAGGTGATTAGGCCTTTTTCTGTTTTAGAGTACAAAGACAACTTCTGCTTACATTTTTAAATATCTTCACGTTTCTTTCTTTTTTGAGATGTTTTCAGAGTGTGTATTTTGAGGCTCTTTTCTATAATCAGAGATTGTTCTACCCTTTAAACGGGTCAGCAAACTATAGCCCACTGCCTATTCTTGTTAAGGTTGTATTGGAAGGAACACACCCTTCACGTGTGTATTGTTCATGGCTGGTTTCACCCTACACAGACAGAGGAGTGCTCCAGTGGCAGTGTGGCCCGTAAAGATTAAAATATTGACTCTTCAAGAAAACCGTGATTAAAAGTGTTTGATGGCTAGAAAATCATCTCCAGTAGTATCTATATCCAAATGCTTGATGATGATGGACAAATACACTAATTCTTCAACTCCCTTGCCAATCAGAATCAAGGCCTATGTGCAGTTTTTACCTTCTCCGTATTCATCTTTAGGATCAAATTCCGCTTTTATGGGCACGGTATTGACAAGTCTGAGATGAGTCTGTCGTTTCCAAGGTGGTAGGCCAGTATTTCCTCTTGCAGGTTCCTCTGCCCTGAGAAGTGGAGACTCTGTGGATCCTTGTGAGTTTTTATAATTCTACCTACGGTATCTTAGGACAGCTATATTCCACTTGGAATTCTTTAATTCAAGTAGGATCTCAGGTTTTTGTAGATAAATTTTGTGTACTAATAAATAAAATTTGTAACGTAGCCTGATTAATTTTTTAAAGAAAAATATTTTTCTCTCCCCTATTTGAGATTCAAAAGTAAAAGCTAAATTATACTTAATAGCAAAAGCATTATAACCACAAAGCTAATTACTAAAAATATGTTCCTGGTCTCTTCAACAGTACTGAATACCAACTTTTTCACATAGTAATCTTTGGAAAAGAGCCAGGCATGGGAAGGGTCCCATTTAGGGCTCGTTTCGTTGGCGCAGGTTGTCATCCTACAGATACCTATAGGATCAGTGGAGAGCCTTGGGATAACAGTACCTTGGGACAGCACTTTTCAGAGTGTGATCCCTGGTCCTGGAGTCCCCAGGGCCACTTCAGAGGGCCAGGAGATCAAAACTTGTTCATAGTAATGTTAAGATGTCATTTGCCTTTGTCCACTGTGTTGACGTTTACACTGATGTTCAAACATCATGATGGGTAAAGCTGCTGTCACATTGGCACGAGTCAGGGCAGTGGCACCAGACTATGCTAGTTGTCACTGTATTCTTCACCCTGTGCTCACACAGTAAGAAAGAAGAATGACCTTGATGAAGCAGTGATAAGTCTTCTGTGTGAGGAAACAAGAGGAACGTGGAAGGCACTCCTGCTGCACGCCAGACTCGAGGCGGCTCTCCAGGGAAACCGCTCGCTGTGGGACTGAGTTGCGAGCGGGACTAACCGCTGTTTTCTTGGAAGACCAGTCGTACTTAAAAGAAGGGCTGGCACATGTACTGTAGTTGTTCCGAGTTGCACATTTGGTAGACATTTTCTCAAAAAAGAAAGATGCAAGGCTCTCTCATCAAGGAGAACAACTGATTGTATTTGCCAGTGATAAAATTGGAGTTTCCAAGCAAAAATGAGAATTTGGGGAAACATATCCATTACCACGACCTTGACAGCTTCCCAATTCTTAGACTTTTCTGATGAGCTCAGAACGGTATTAACAAATGTGATTTTTTTTTTTTCATGTTGGATACTAAATGTGTCAATATTGGGAGCATCTGCATAACTCAATGATCTCTATTTCCCAAATGATCAGTCAGGATGTTACAAAGTCACGCTAGGGTCCAAGGCCCATCCACAGTACAAGCGAGAGTAATGGATTGTGATGTGACAGAGAACGCTCAGACTCCATGTTGCAAGTCATCTCTCAGAAACTGCCACTTGTTGAGTTTGCGTGTTTTTCAAGAAACAATATCCACAATCGTGCCAAGAAACTATTAAAGTACTCCTCCTTTTCCAACTGCGTAGCTACGTGAAGCGGGATTTTCTTGTATGCTACACACCACAGCAGCCTGAGTGCGGAAGCAGATAGGAGAACTTGCTGCCTTCTGTTAACCCTGACAGGAAAGATGTTTGCATAAATGTAAAAGGTGCCACTGTTCTCATTGGGTTTTTTTGGTTTTGAAAAATTAAATTTTTTAAAAAAACATGTAATTAGTTTATTTTTAAGTGTCTGTTTAAATTTCTAATAATGTAAATATTGGTAGATATAATCCAGATAAACAAAAGCTCTTGGAGTCCTCAGTAATTTTTGAGAATGTAAAGGGTCCTGAAAATAAAATGTTTGAGAGTAGCTGCCTCAGAACAGTGTTTTTCAACCCTAATCAGACCCAGCACGCCATTTTATTTAAAAAATATTTTATAATGCCCCACTTACTGATCCTGAAATAAAATAATAATAAAATGACATACTGATTTCACAATCCCAGTACTGCCAGAAGACTGCTAACTACGCAAGAGAAATAAAAGTAATCTGTAATAACACGATGCACACACGTGTATAAAGCAGTCAAGCGTGGTGAAGGGCCAGCGAGCACCTGCGTGTGGGCTCACCATCGATAGAACAGCTACGCACGCGGGCCTCACCACCGCAGCTGAAGGTGCACCTCATCAGTCTTGGTGATGTGATTTTCTAGAATGCTGAAGAGTCTTGGTAGAGTTCAAATGAAACAGTAAAATTGTCTATCACTATACACAGTAGTTGCCATCCTGGAACATAGGATGTCTGATAAACTCTGCAAACTATTATTTGTGTTCATACGTAAAACAGAGTTGTGGGTCCAGATGACAGGACTTGTTGTATCACCTGCGTGAGGTTGGGAGAGATGTCTGAAAGTGGAACAGCTCCTGTTGCTGGGACCCATTCTGTGACCCACCTGCCTGCCACCTCAAGTGCCACACATTATGATCGTCTCAGGCACCCTCAGCGACCCTAATTGCAGGCAGGAGCACTGTCGCCCGGTGGAGAGCCACTACTTTAGGATATTTCAGTTTTTCCTATGTCTTCCTCCTCGCTTGGGAGAATTTCAACAAAAATTCTCTCAGCTCCATAGTGTGCTTTATTAAAATCCAAGTTTCTGTCTTCAAGGAGGAGATGTAGAGACGCTGCTAAATCACCATGCTTAGGAGCAGGTGACACTTGGATACGTACATGGAAGCCATTCTCAAAGGACTTGACGTGTGTTAGCTTATTTCATCTTTGTGACAGCTCTGTCCCTCTGGATCACTGAGGATGCGGAGGCACGGAGAGCTGAGGTGCCCTTGGCCCTATGGGCCAGAGCCTGGGCTCCTGACTGCCGTGCTGAGTTCCTACATGTAGGGAACAAAAGCAGAACTGTGTTCACGATACGTGGACACTCTCGGATGCATTTGCCAGTGTGTACCCACACATTGGTTAGACGTTAGCAAAGTCTGACGTCGTGGTATTCTTTGTGCAGTAGTTTTATCTGCCATAAAACATGTTTTCACCTTTTTACCTATTTTTATTTTGAAATGGAACCTTACAAGTGTTGTCATCTGCTACCTGTTTAAGTGTTTGAGTGACTGTGGGATGGTGTATAGAGATTTTGCTGTTCTCTCATCAGCTCCTTTTGTGTGTTCCTTTTTGTTTGGGAGTCAGAAGTGCGCTCGTCGTAGAGCAGCCTCACCACACAGAGATGTTGGAGTCAGGCAGTTCTGCCATGACCAGCTGTGCAGCCTGTTCACATTGCCTGGCTTCTCTGAGCCTCAGTTTTATCCTCAGTCAAATAGGGCGGTGCTATTGCTTGGTAGCATTGCTCTCAGAATTGTCAGACTGTGTGTAAAGCACCTAGGTCTGCACATAGAGATTTAACAGGCCCTGACAGCGGGACTGGAGCAAGGACAGAAGTAACCGCAGTCCCAGTCAGGATCCGAACACGCGCCACGGAGGAGAGCAGAGGACTTAGGTGTGTGTTAGGTGGGAGAAATAGGAGCCATTCCATGAAAGAAGTAACATGTGAGAGACACAGAGGACAGGAGGTGATCTACAGGGTGAGGTGGGAGACACTCCAGGCCGAGGGGATAGTGTAAGCAACGCCATGGGGGACACGAGACTGTTTTTAGAGACTCAGACTTACTCAGAATTTAACTCTAGCAGAGCATGTGTTCATCCACGACCCCGTGTGTCCATGGGAAAGAGACACAGGCCTTGCGTTTCCTTTTCTCCCTCAGGCTTTCTGGGACCTGAAGCCACTTCCTTTCGTTCTGGTCTTAATTTGGTTGGTGAATGATGGGTTTTCACTTTGTTAAATCCCTCAGGTTTAGAAGACTTTGTTGTCTTACCTGCTGTTTCAGACTAAACCATTCTTTTGCTGTGAACTTTAAATTCACGTATCTCAGAAACAGAATGAGAATTTTAGAGCTGAAAGTGACTTTAGAGTTACTCTGGCTCAACTCCCATTTTGTAGATGAGGAAATGGAAACCCATTGGTTTACTCACTTGCCTGAGGTAACACAGCCAGTAAGTAGCCAAGTATCTAGCTCACTGCACAGAAAGCATCCAGATTTGCATTCCTTTGATTACAAATGGCGTCGAGCATCTTTTCATGTGGCCATTGGTATATCTTCTTTGGATCTACGCAAGTCCTTTCCCCACTGTTAGATTATTTATCATTTTATTGTTGAGTTATAAGAGTTATTTATATAGTCTCAATATGAATCTCCTATCAGATATATGATCTGGAAATATTTTCTTCCACTCTGTGAGTTGTCTTTTCACTTTCGTGATGGTGACATTGGCAACACAGAAGCTTTTAATTTTGATGAAGTCCAATTTATCTTTTCTTTCTTTTGTTGACTGAGGTTTTGGTGTCCCTTGCCTAACCCAAGGTCGCAAAGATTTACTCCTACGTTTTCTTCTAAGAGTTTTATAGTTTTAGCGCTTATATTAAATCAATGATTTATTTTGAGTTAATTTTTGTGTATGTTGTGAGGAAAGGGTCCAACTTCATTTTTTCACGTGTGGATATCCTGTTGTCCCAGCATGAGTTGTTGAAAAGACTATTTCCCCCATTGAAATGTCTTGACATTCTTTCCGACTAAGCTGTTTTAGAGATATACATTTTTTTATTCTTTTCAATAAAACATAAATTTACCAAACTACTCATTCATGTGATGCTCTGTTGATTTGTTCACAGCCCAGCAGACCTGGTTATCCTAGTCCAAGGTCCAGCGAAGGATTTTACCCCAGCCCACAGCACATGGTGCAAACCAATCATTACCAGGTATACCAGTCGTTGCAGGTAGATGTGTTTTATTCTTCAGCACATTTGGGGGGTGGGGAGGTAGAGTGTGTATGTTTGTGTTTTTTATTTCTCTACTTATGAGTATGATCTGGCGAGTAGAAAGCTAAGAAAGTAGTCAACCTCCTAATTGTCTAAGTGAATGTTGTTTTGACGTCCCCATGTAGATGGCTGTATCCACTCAGTCTCAAAGTAGTTGGGGCAGGTGTCACATCCCCCACAGCTCTTGGGTCCCTTCCCTTCCTCTGTTCTGGTAAAGTGCAGAGAGAATCCAGTGGACACACTCTATGCCGAGGTAATGTTAAACTGGGTGGTTTTTCTGGAAGGCAAGAATAAAATTCAAAATTACCTTAAAAACCAGGTGAGATGCCATATGGACAAGTGTGGAAAGAGTGTAATGCTTGTAGACCAATATCCTGTACAAATTAGAGAAGATTATCCTTGAAAGAAAAGGCCCAGAAGCAAAGTCAGTAGTTTCTTTGTTTTTGTGTTTGAAGGAAGAGTATTAGCTTTTTTAAGGCGTAATTTACTTACAGTGAAGTGCACAGATCTTAGTTTTGACAATTGTATACACCAGTGTACCCCATACCCACATCAAGATACAGAACATTTCTATGACCCTAGAGAGTTCCCCAGACCATTTCCTAGTCAGTCACCTCCTGCCCAGCAGCAGCCACTCTCTGACTTCAATTACGAGAGTCATTTTGCCTATTCTAGAATTTCAGATCATTGGATCAACTGGTGTGTCCTCTTTTGCACTCAGCGTCTTTTACTCGGTGTGATGTCGATGAGTTGAGGGTGTCAGCACTTCATTCCTTTTCAGTATTGAGAAGTGTTCTGTTGTATGACTGTACTACAGATTGTTTATCTATAATAATGTTATTTTGATAATTAAAAAAAAGAAATTTGTCAGATAATTTCCAAGAAATAAAATCATCTCTTGTCATTTGTGCTGTTTATGGCTTTGTTGTAGCAGAGTGCCTTTTATAGCACTGGGCTTTCTGCTGTCCATGTTCATAACTGGTTAACTGGATTAGTTGTGATAACCAGACTTTACTAGAAAGTGGGTGACTGAAGAATAGCTGAAATCCAAATGAATAATATATGATTTATTGATGATGATGAGCTAAATAAAACATGACGTAAATTAAGGCCTCTTGGATTCATATGGATCAAAATTCTCAGCTGTTGTTACTAGGGTACCGGGGGAGAATGTAGGCTGTTTCTTAGGAGAAAGGAAAAGACCTTGGTGCTGGTGGTAGTTTAGAGCAGTATTCGTGGTTTAGAGCATGTGTTAGTGGTAGTTCAGAACGGTGAATTGGGTACATCAGGCTCTTTACCTACTTGACTGCCTCCAGATCCCAATATACTAATTCTGAAGCGGAGCCCAGGAATATCCCATTGTTTACAAGCACCCACAGGTGATTCTAGTGCATGACTGAGAGCCCTGTTCTGGGAGACACTGTACTAGATACCCACTTCCCTGGGGGAAAGTGTAAATCATTTGGGTTCTCCAAGGCAGCTCGTCATTCAGTAAGCTGGCATTGACTGTTCATCCCCTCTGTGTCCAGCACTGTTCTAGGCACTGGGAACAGGAAGATGAAGAAGGTATGCCCTCTCCTGTGAGAGGAGCTTTCAGGGCCCCCCGTCACCAGAAGCCTAGGTTACTGATTCTCTCATGCTATGGCTCATCACCAGAGGGATGAGCGAGACGGAACCCTGACCCAGGAAAGCGGTCAGAGCAGTTGGAGGTGTGTGAGTGGCCTAGGAAAAGAAGACCCACGTGTGTGATCACTGAGACCCGAAGCTGTGGCAGACAGTAGAGGACCTGGGGCAGTCCCAGCGTCTGTGCCTTGGCAGTTCAGAAAGTAGAGCTCAGTGGGCACTGAGCAGGAACTGGGTACCAGACTCGTTCAGAGAAGACATGGCAGCGCCTGCTGTTACAGAAAGAGAATGTGCTCCGTGTCGTGGCAGCCTCAGTGGGTCCCGGCCCTGTGGCTGGGGCACGTCAGTCTGCAGGACCTCCACGACTTGGGGCTCTGCTACAGGTTGGTCAGTGCTGCCTCTCCCCCTGGAGTGGAAAGCCCCGAGGACAGGGACTTGGCTGTGCCTAAGTGCCTGTAGCACCGTGTAGAAGAGACTGAGTTCAGGGAGGAAATAGACACATTCGTTTTTCCATCAAATGAATGATTAACCTCTCCCAAGCCCCAAGCTTCCTTAGCTTGTAAATGAGAACAGCTGTAGGACATTTCCTGGTGTTATTTCATGTTCCTTTTTAGCCTAAAGTGCTCGTTTGATCCTCCCGCGTGGTTGATGTTATGGAGAAACCTCCTTAAATCATTTGAAATCTCTTTGTTGCAAAAATTCCTAAAAGTTCTCTGGCAGTAATATATCCTTTCTGACCAAAAATAGTCATGCTACAGCATTTCATGTTTAGTATAATTTTTTTATTAAAATATTTTCATTCAGGTAAACTGGGAGCGCTATCTGTACATCTTATTTGAAAGTTTATTAATTACATATTGTCAGTATGCAATTTTGGTATAAATCAATGCCTAGAGACCTAACAAATGCATAATATCTTTGTTGAAAAGTGTGTTGAAATTTGAAATATGGATTTGGCTGTGCTTTATCTCATTAAAAAATCCACTGACAATCCTGGCCATCCAATACTAGCCTAATGAGTTATGGAAAATACTGATTCTGTTCTCTGTCCTTCGCTTGAGTGAGGGAGGGAACCATATAAAAACATTCCTCTTATTTTCCTTCTGCTTTGAAGTGTTTCTCCACATCCAACTGAATGTCTTCTCTGCCTTGGTCATTACTGTTAGAACATGAAGGCAGGACTTCTCCCACCATCTGCCTTGTTCATTAGAAGACAAACATTTGGGGGGTCGGCTGTTTGTTGTTGGGGGAGCAGTAGCAGGGGGGCAGGAAAGGGAGTTCTAGGGCAGTGCGTGGCTCAGCCACCTTTGTGGCCTCCTGTTGTTTTCGCATCCAAGGATGGTGTGCGCTTAGCATTGTCCTAAGTGTAAGATTCCAGAGTAGATGGTTTCTGACTTTCTAGTGCGTGTTTCCATTAGTTGTCTAACACAGCCGTGACAGATTACATTTCTCGAGGCTTTGGTTGAGAATCCATTTCCTTGCCTTCACCAGATTCTAGAGCCCGCTTAGTTCCTTGGCTCCTGGCCCCCTTCCTCTGTCTTCCCAGCCAACAGTGTTGTCTCTCTGACCGCTCTTCAGTGGTCACATCTCCTTTTCACTCCCCTTCTGCTGCTTTCTTGCACTTTTAAGGACCCGTATGATCACCTTGGGTCCAGGGGATAATCAAGGATAACCTCCCCATCTCGAGATTCCTAGTTTATAATCACATGGGCAGAGTCTCTCTGCCGTGTGAGGTACCACATCCGCAGGCTCCAGGGATTGGGCCGTGGGCATCTTCAGGGGGCCGTTATTCTGCTGCCACAGTATTCTCTGTAAGCTTAGTTACTTCCTTTCACACGGGAAGAGAACTGTGCAGAAGTTACGTTGCATCAGAACGTGACCCTGCCACCTTCCTTGTCCGCAGGTCTCTGGCTACCCTGGTTCACATGGAGTGACAGCCGTGGCTGGCAGCATCTACCCAGCTCAGGCATCTCTTTTGGACCAAACAGATTCATGGAATCATAGACCACAGGAGATATCAATGTGGCAACCCAACGTGGAGGTAAGTTGGATGTTCTTCGGCTTCAGTTTGTTAACTGATGAGGCTTTGCCCAGGTACCTTTTATTTCTAAATCCACAGATTTATTGATTTTGATGGCCTAATTCTAAGATGAAGATGCTCCTTTTACTGAAACGCTTTTTGGTTCTGTGAATCTTGTTTACTAAAAGAAAGGAGAGCTGCTAAGTCAGCAGCCCATTCATTTGTTTAGAACAACCCTGAGGTGAACACAATTAGCATATTACAAGAGGCCGAGGAAGAAAGGGGAAGACCGAGCCACCAGCTCTGTGGACTGTGTTAATTCTTACTGAATTTTCCTGGTAAACCAAGAGCCACTCCAGTAATACTAAAAATTATTTCTTCGAATCTAAGAACATCTACAGTCGTCTGCTGTTCATGTTCTTTTCCTTGGAGCACACGTGTTTAATGACTGCTTAATAGTCCAATATGTGTATCTATCAAATTTAATCCTCCTGTTATTTGACTTCCAGATTGTTTCCACTTTTTTACTGTTATTTAATGATGCGTCCTTCGCACATATCTTGGGTTATTTCTTTAGCATGAATCCCTGCAGGTGGAGCTGTGAGCTAAATGCCTGCGTACGTCGTAAAGGTGCTTGGCACATAGTAACTTGCAGCCTCCAGAAAAGTTGCTCCTTCACAAGCAGAGTATGCGAGACCCTATTTCCACCACTTTTGCTCTTTCTCTTAGTTTTTTGGAAAGATACCCAGAAGAAAGTAAGAGCATCATAAATAGACTTCTGAGAGTGGCCGTGCTGTCTTTAAACCTCTTCTAGGACTCAGCGGCTCTGGACCTGCGAGGAATCGGGCAGGTGTTGCCGGCCCACCTGATGGAAGAGCGGCTCATCCGACAGCAGCAGGAGATGGAAGAAGATCAACGCTGGCTGGAAAAAGAGGAGAGATTTTTGGTAATTATGTTGCAGAAGCTTTCTTCCGCTTTTTAAGCCCTGCTGGAGTCGACTATATTGCAAATGATTGCGAGAGTTCATCTTTTCCAAAGCATGAGTTAATAGTTTTATATCTGGTCCCTAAAACTTGCAACATGGGTTATTGTTATTTGCTTTTCTTGAATTATTTTTTCAAAATAATTTTCTCAGATTTTTGCAGTGGCATTATGGACTCAGAGGTGTGAGCATTTCAGTGGGTTTCACATTACTGCAGTCTTTACACACAAACAGCTCCCACTTAAATGTCAGCTTGCACATAAAACTTTCTGCCCTGCTACTGCAGGATGTGTAAACAGACAGCCCAGAATCCCAGGGTTTGCCTTCTTGGCATTCCTCTCCTCGTGGTCTCACAAATACAGACCTCCTCCCACATGTATCTGGAGTTGTGTGTGAGAAATGTCTTCCTCAGACAACTCTTGTCGACAGTGTCTCAGAAGTCCCCTGCAGACAGACAGAGCGAGCGGTCTCTGTGTCTCAATTGATACAAGGGCCCCTTTGGACTCATGGCCCCACTGCCAAGCACTTCTGTGCCTTCAGCCTCAGAACCCACTTCCCCACCACCCCACACAGCTGTTTCGGTCTCCCTGAAGTAGACTGAAAAGAAAGATGGCTGAAAGGAACCAGGACTCGTCCTGTTTCCGCAAAGGCTTGAGTTAGTAACTCTACCTGGGTAGTCCAGCCAGTCCTTCATGTGCTGACTCAGTAAACGTTGCTGGATGCCAACTGTGTCACGCTCTGTACTGAGGGACAAGCTACCAGTGAAGGCAGGATACGACCCTGTTTTTAAATCGCTTGAAGTCTTACAGGCACAGAAACGTTTAAATCGATACGCAACGGTATTATAAGACTGGTTTCAAACTGTGTTCTGCCGAATTCATCAACATGTGGTTCTGATTTCATTCTTTATATGTGGCTTTCTTATTTTAAACTGTGGTTTAAAATTAAACAGAGCAACCTGCACAGTCAAGTTTGGTGAAGCAGGTTGGCAGAGAGGCCAGCGCCCTCGCTGCAGGGTGTATTGGGGATGACCTCAGCAAGCCTGCCATCTCCGAGTGTGTATGGGAGCACATGAGGAGCCGTGTCTCGCCTTTTTCTGTTTAGCCTGCAAACATCACACTCACTCCACACTCAGTTCACTGCCAGATGGGACTACTGCACTCTTACTTAGCACAGACCCTTGTCGCAGTCCATCTGTTAAGATAATACGTAATACCACATGCCAGTCACCGTCTTATGCATTTCTCATATGGAAAGTCATTCAGTGTTCACAGCTGTCCTGTGAGGAAGAGACAGGTCCAAAATCCTTTTTCCGAAACTCTGAGGGTTCCCTGTGCTTCAGACTTCAATATATTTTCAACTTTAGGAAGTTGAAGTAATATGATGCTCGTGCCATGTATGATGTCACACTCCGACAGGACCCCAGAGTTGAAAGCACTGATGATATTCCTACAGTAAGACGCATTAGCACGCATGAAGACAGACTCTCATTGGCTCAGGTCAGGTTTTGCCACCAAATTAGTTTGCTTCAAACGTAAAAAAGCAAATAAACTTCCCAATCTTGAGGACTTTTTAGATTTTGGAAACATGGATAAGGGAATTTGAATCTGTGCCTTTATTATCTTCATTTTACAGATGAGGAAATTTCCCAGGGTCACCCAGCTAGTGTATAGCAGAGCCAAAATCCAACCCAGCACCCCAGCCCCAGGGTCTGTGGTCCTGACCATTCTGCCTGCTGCCCTGGCTCGTGCTCATGGGGCACGTGGCGCCCATACTCGCTAGACCTGCCGGGTATGCTTCACACAGGTTCACAGTAAGGTATGAGCTGTGATAGACATCTTGAGGGATCTGCTGTGGAACAAACGTTTCGTACTATACTTTCAAATTTCTAAATTAGCTACTTGAAGCAAATCTTGAGATTGTAAGGCAAGCTATGAAAGATGGTTATTATTTACTACTAATAATAGGGTGAGTCCGTCTGGATGTTGAACCTGTTCTGAGAATGCAGCTGCTGTTCCCTAGCCCTACATTTTAAACTTTTTGCCCAGACAGCCTATTTTCTCACATCAGTTTGTGTTTTAACAAGTAAACATTACAAATTCTCCAAACTTGAGTTAATATTTGTAAATGCTGGTGTCTTGTGTACGACTATGTTTGGACAAAGGGCTCACTACCAAGAGTGTGCAATGCACTGCTGTGCTGTTGCTCCGATGGCGTGCAGCGTGAGCAGAAGAGGGCCCCGCGAGTGCTTAGTGGAGTCAGGGAGGCTCGGAGTCAGGATCACGTGAGAGCCGAGGCTTAAAGAGGAATTGGAGTTTGCCAGGTCAGCAGGCTCAGGAGGCGCATTCCAGCAGAGGGAGCAGCATGTGTCATGACTTGAGTTGTAAGCCTTCTCAGAACTGCCTGTGCCGGCGTGACTAGAGCTCGTGAGAGGAGGATAGAAGGCAGGTTCAGGCCAGCCTTCGTCTTCTGAGTGAAGGGCTCAAGACACGCGCCGACTCTGCTGGCTGCTCAGTGGTTGGGTTTTTTTCCTTTTAATTGAGATAATTTACATACAGTGGACCACACAGATCTTAAGTGTATAGTTGGATGAGTTTTGTTAAACACGTAAGTCCACAGAACCCGTGCCCCGCAAGCAGAACATTCCTCTCACTCCAGATAGCTTCCACATTATGTTCAGTTACGGGGCTGTATGAAATACCCCACCGGGGGTTCTGATCTTGCCGTATCACATCTACAGGGTAACACGAGGCGTGGGACGGCCCCCGCGTCCTTGGCTCCTTGGCTCTGAAGAAGGACATTCCCCATGTTTGTTCCTGACTTCCTTTATTTCTCCCATACAGCTTTTGTAATATTCTTTAAGTTCATGTCTTGCTTCCCTTATTAAATTGTACCCGTTCATTTAGAGTTTCCTGTCACTGCTGTAATGGTATCTCATTTTCATTGAGCTTTTTAGTTGTGTGTTTTTTTCCTTAAAGATTAGCCCTGAGCTAACATCTATTTCCAATCTTTTTTTTTGCCTTCTTCTTCTCCCCAAAGCCCCCAGTACATAGTTGTATATTCTAGTTCTAGGTCCTTCTAGTTGTGGCATGTGGGGCACCACCTCAGCGTGGCCTGAGAGCGGTGCCATGTCCACGCCCAGGATCCAAACCAGTGAAACCCTGGGCTGCTGAAACAGAGCACACGAACTTAACCACTTAGCCCAGGGGCCGGCCCCTAGTTATGTATTTCTGTGTGTGCGTATGCAGTTGATTTTTAGGAATTTATCTTGTATTTTCCAATATTTATCACATGAAATCTTTTTGACTGATTTCCTTGGATTTTCCAAATGCATGGTTGTTGCTTTTTAAAACACATTTTCTTCATTTTCAGTATGTTATATACTCATATTTCTCTCCCAAAGCATCTCTTGTCAACTTTTGTATTAAATAGGTCCTGTTTTTCCTGATTTTATTATTTTTTAAATTTTTTTTATTAAGATTATGATAGATTACAACCTTGTGAGATTTCAGTTGTACATTATTGTTAGTAATGTTGTGGGTACACCACTTCACCCTTTATGCCCTCCCCCCACCCCCCCTTTTCCCTGGTAACCACTGATTGGTTCTCCATGTCTATATGTTAACTTCCACCTATAAGTGGGGTCATATAGAGTTCGTCTTTCTCTATCTGGCTTATTTCGCTTAACATAATACCCTCAAGGTCCATCCATGTTGATGCAAATGGAACAATTTGGTGCTTTTTTATGGCTGAGTAGTATTCCATTGTGTATATATACCATATCTTCTTTATCCAGTCGTCAGTTTCTGGGCATTTAGGTTGGTTCCACATCTTGGCTATTGTAAATAATGCTGCAATGAACATAGGGGTGCATGGGATTCTTGGGATTGCTGATTTCAGGTTCTTAGGATAGATACCCAGTAATGGGATGGCTGGGTCATAGGGTATTTCAATTTTTAACTTTTTGAGAAATCTCCATACTGTTTTCCATAGTGGCTGCACTAGTTTGCATTCCCACCAACAGTGTATGAGGGTTCCTTTTTCTCCACAACCTCTCCAACATTTGTCACTTTTGGTTTTGGATATTTTTGCCAATCTAACGGGTGTAAGGTGATATCTTAGTGTAGTTTTGATTTGCATTTCCCTGATGATTAGCGATGATGAACATCTTTTCATGTGTCTCTTCGCCATACTTATATCTTCTTTAGAGAAATGTCTGTTCATGTCCTCTGCCCATTTTTTGATCAGGTTCTTTGTTTTTTTGTTGTTAAGCTGTGTGAGTTATTTGTATATTATGGATATTAATCCTTTGTCGGATAAGTAGCTTGTAAATATTTTTTCCCAATTAGTGGGCTGTTTTTTTGTTTCAATCCTGTTTTCCCTTGCTTTGAAGAAACTCTTTAGTCTGATGAAGCCCCATTTGTTTATTCTTTCTATTGTTTCCCTCATCTGAGGAGTTACAGTGTCCGAAAAGATTCTTTTGAAACTGATGTCAAAGAGAGTACTGCCTATATTCTCTTCCAGAAGACTTATTGTTTCAGGCCTAATCTTTAAGTCTTTGATCCATTTTGAGTTTATTTTTGTGAATGGTGAAAAAGAATGGTCGATTTTCATTCTTTTACATGTGGCTGTCCAGTTTTCCCAGCACCATTTGTTGAACAGACTTTCTTTTCTCCATTGTAGGCCCTCAGCTCCTTTGTCGAAGATTAGCTGTCCATAGATGTGTGGTTTTATCTCTGGGCTTTCAATTCTGTTCCATTGATCTGTGGACCTGTTTTTGTACCAGTACCATGCTGTTTTGATCACTGTAGCTTTGTGTAGTATGTTTTGAAATTGGGGATTGTGATGCCTCCGGCTTTGTTTTTCTTACTCAGGATTGCTTTAGCAATTTGCGGTCTTTTGCTGCCCCAAATGAATTTTAGGATTCTTTGTTCAATTTCTGTAAAGAACGTCCTTGGGATTCT